CCCGATGGTGCCTGCGCCGATACAACAACATATCTAGCGTCACCAACATGCTTGAAGACCCGACATGGCGTACCCTTGAGCAAAGTCGGATTTTTAACTCTCACGGACTACTGCGCCCTGTCATGCGCAGGACACGTCGCTCGCACTCGGAAAGGCTTCAAACTAGCCTGTCCTCCGAGTGTCTATCCTATTTTTCAAGAACAATTATTAAGTGCAACAATTTGCCACCTGCTTCTGTCTTTAGCGAACACTGCTCTTTAGATACTTTCAAAGACCATGTAAGCTGCCTAAATCATCTTCCTGTTTATTAGCCTATAAAGTTAACTCTTTTGCTGACCTATACAGCCAATAATCCTTAAATGTGAAGGGTAGGGTTAATTTTGATCACCAAGATAGAGGTTATTTTCAGTACACCGTTATTTAATTATGGAGTAAACCATGTGTCATTGAGATTTTTGTACTAAATCTAATGTAAGGGTTTGCACTCAAATCATATCTGGAACGTTTCGGAGCAGGGGCTGGACAAATTTTTTTCTCATTCTTGGGGTGATTCTCTTTGACTCGGGTCAGTTCAGTTCGACTGACACTTTCATCTTCAGAATTTTTCATTTCCTGGACCATTTCTATTAACGCAAGCTGAGTAACAATGATTCCTACAGGGCGCTGTGAACATTCCTTTTATTTTTTTTCTTGTAACATGTGATTTAAGAATTTGTTCATGCTTAGCGTGCGTATATCAAGTTATGGATGCACGCGGGACGTTTGGAGAGCCGAAAGATGCGTAAGAATCGCTCGAGGTGCAGCTGAGAGCAATCCTAGCTTCTAAGAGTTGCTCGAGGTGCAGCCGAGAGCAGTTCTAGCTTCTTGAGTGCTCTCCAAACTTAAGTGCATCCATAACTCGATATACGCACAGCTAAAAGCATGAGCAAATTCTTTTATAACATAGCTGAAAAAAATGTTTGCTTTTCGATTAACTACAAAATTTTCGTAACGCACAACACAATAACAAACGCTTCTATTGGCTGATTACAAACACGCCACAATCGTCTAGTTTGAATAAAATTCTTCCTCTAAAATTGAGAAAGAAAATTTGCTTATTTATTCGTTAACGATCAATGAAGACTAAGCAGAAACAAAGGTAAAAGAGTCTTAAAGTCCACCTAAAGTTAAAATACTCACATGTTCGTAAGAAGTCGCGGAGTATGGTTTGGATTTGCTGAAAAGATGTTTATGTTTTGCTCGGCGAAATCCAGAAAACCCGTTTTTTTTAGGGGTGTCTTGAAAACAAAGACCCCTAAGACCCCTAAGATCCCCCACCGAATGACTCTGAACTCTATTGATTAGGGTTAGGAAACTGAGTTCATCAACTTTCAGGTCAGTTTGTCCAGAATAATGAATTAAATGGAACCTGATTCACTCAGTTTCCTAATCCTAATCACTAAAGTTTTGAGTCATTTGGGTGGGGTCTAAGGGGTCTGTTTTCAAGACACACGTTTTTAGCGAAGACGACTGTCATCCTAATTTAAACTTATATTCATTTACGAACAATGGATGGTCATTACGGCTTCTCGAGAAGAGCTGGCAGCAGTTGTTTCTTTAAGTAATAAATTTCTGTCTTCTTGTGTAATTTGTCTCGTTATTGCAAGAGAAATTTTCCTGCTTCAGTCGGATTGTTCGGCAATAACAAAAGCGCATAATTTTTCGCGGTTGAGCTTACTTTATAATTAACTTGTTTTGTAAAGGATATAAAACAAACGTTAAAAACGGAGGACACTTCATACAAATTGGATATTTTCCGACACAGACTAATTTGTGGTCTTTTTCTACTTAAAAATGCCAGTCTTTACGGCAGACATTTTCAACCAATTATTCAGACTCTATTATTTGCGAAACATCTTCACCGCTTTTGCTATTTGGTTTGAGTTTGACTGGCTAGAACGAAGCTAAATTCCAAAAGAAGTCTAGAAAGTTTTTTTTAACATTGCCGTCGATGTTTCGGTACTTAGTAAAAGAGACGAAAAACACAACTAAACACATCGTCATAAACAAAATCTTTATTTACGCACTGGCGTGTGTAAATAAAGATTTTGTTCATAGCGGCTCAATAGGACATATATGGGGCAAGCACCCGCGCTATGTTATGATAGTCTCTTTTTCTTAAATACGGGTCCTGTTAGTTGTTCTACCATGGGTTGTAACTACGATCCCCCGATTTTCAGACTTGTCAGCTCTACCAACTTAAGTAGACGAGCACCGGACTACAAAGTCCTTAGATGTGGTCGATTTATAATATTTCACCATAAATTGTATAAATCTAGACATACCGAGTTCCTTAATCCTTTGTACTGTTTGTCGGGGACAACTTAATTGTTCAGATCTAATAAATTACATGGCCTTTTGAAAAATGCTACAACTTATCCAGGACTTTATTTAAAATCTTAAACTGGCAAAAAATCTCACAAACAAACAAATAATGAAACAAAAAAAAGTCGTCCCTCACCACGTTGGCCCAAAATTTAGTTGCTGGAGCATGGTAGAACGCTATAAATGTTTCCCACCGCGTCAATTTCCTCCACAGGAATCCTTTTTCTTTTTCACGCCATGCTACGTTCGGGTCGAATTTACTCACTGAGAAAATGTTTCTAAGAGACAATTAATACAGGAACTATAGTTACTCATAATGCTGTTATAATTCCTTTTTGTAAACGCAGACTTGAGAATGATATTCAGTGACCTTTGAACCTTTAATACTCCTTTCCACCCTCTGGTTCGGAATTAATGGCAATTATTTGTTCCACAGTAAATTGAGTGGAAAGTACGATGTTCTATCTTTGAGAAGCTCATTAAACGAAAATCGAAACTTTATGTTTAAACATTTACAAAGCTGCTGCCATATAGTTTTAGCAGTTAAATTTCTATAGACAATAGAGTTCTAAACTGATGACGTCATAAAAACTGAATTTGTGAAACTGTGGGATTTGTCAAGATATTCTGAAAGAACAACATCTAAGAGGCCTACTTCCCGAAAACTAGCACTTCGGAGCAAATTGTGTCTGAGATATTAGCCCAGTTATGCTCCGATGACTCCATACAAATCCTTCTAAATTTGACTCAGTTTGCCACACTAGGAACCGAGTCAAATTTAAAGGGATTTGTATGGAGTCATCGGAGCATAACTGAGCTAATATCTCAGAGACAATTTGCCCCGAAATGCCAGTCTTTGGTAAGTAGGCCTCTTAGATGTTGTTCTTTAGATGTTGTTCTTTCAGAATATCTTGACAAATCCCATAATTTTACAAACTTCCTCCAATCAAATACTAAGCAACAACAACCTCAACGTTATTCACGTCTCTCAATAGGCAAAGTGCTTGAATTGTTTTAAGAGATATTCTGCACACATACCCTTTTTCACTTCCTTCATTCGCTCCATTTTCAGGGACGTCTGAGCTGAGGATGGGATGAAACTCAAGTGAAAGTACTGTCATGGGAATCAGAAGCCCTAATACGATCTAATGGGATAAAATACAGACGCAAAAAAATAGTCAGGAGCGGACTCATGCAGTCTACAGAGACCAGAATAGAAGTTCTGCTTGTATCTGCTGTCGTGGAGTTCCCACAATAATTAGGTAGCTTTAGCAACGACGACGACGACGGCAGCGAAAACGTCACTGTTTAAAGGACTTCTCTATTTTCATACTTTGTTGCAATTATTCCAACTCGCTAAAAATGTTCAAGTAGGTGAATTTTTCTTAGGGACAAACAAAGTTTAAGAGTGGAAAGAGAAATTCATCGTCGTGGGTTTTAAAAGGAACCTTAGGCAACGACGACGACGACGGCAGTGAAAACGTCATTGAAAAGTGAATTTGCGTTCTTTAAAACTTAATCTGTTTATTTGGTCCCGCTCAATATGTCAAATGCAGGCGACTTTTCCTTGAGTTGAATTCTTAAGGATTTTATTCAGGATCAAAAAGAGGAAGGAAAATTCGTTCTCTTACGTCCACGTCCTCCATAAAACGTCAAATTAAGAGGTTTCACGTCGTAGTCGTGGACGTCAAAGAAATGTACTCAAAAGCGTGATGCAGGGGCAGAGCTGTTGTTTTGATCATTAAACCTATTGTTTTTTGAAGTTGTCGTCGTCGTCGTAGTTGCTGAAGCTCCCTAATAGGGTCCTTACGAAACTACGACGGCGACGGTAAGGAGAACGTCAAAAAAGCAATAGGTGTAATGAGCAAAACAACAACTCTGCACGTGCATTACGTTTGTTTGTACATTTCTTTGCTGTCCCTGTACAACTACAAGGCCTCTGGGTACGATGGCCTAAGCGTACGTTTTCAAGAAAATTGCACCGGTGTTTGCAAATCCTTTATGCAAATTACTTAATCTTTCAGTATCGACAAACAGTTTTACTAACCACTGGAAAATAGCTAAAGTCACACCACTGCACAAAGGAGCAGCACGAAATGATATCAACAATTATCACCCCATACCGGTTTTACCTATCCTTTCGAAAATTCTCGAAAAGAACGTGGCCAGCTCTCTATCTTTTTTCTTACGCGATAACAAATCATTATGCGAGCTGCAATCAGCCTTCAGGTCAGGACACTCAACTGAAACAGCTTTGATCAGACTCACGGATCAGATTCTAAAAAAACATGGACAATGACGAAGTGAAGGGTTCTGGTTTTTATAGATTTCCGAAAAGCTTTTGATGTGATTGATCATGAACTTCTTCTAAAAAAGTTGTCTATCTAAGGTGCTACCCCTTCTTCTGTTGCCTGGTTCAAATTTTACTTGTCTGAGAGGAAGCAGTTTATTTCGTTAGGAAAAAAACTACGTCTAAACAGTTGACGGTTAAGCAAGGTGTGCCCCAAGGGTCAGTCCTAGGTCCGGTGCCCTTCCTTTTGTCCGTCAACGATATGCCCCTCCACGTCCAAAAGTCAACATGGACATTTATGCAGATGACACCACCTTATCGTTGAGTTCAAACTGGAAAACCCCGCTATTACTAAATCAATCTTTGTCACCGGACCTTAGTGAAGTAGAGATATGGGCTACAGAGAACAAAATGTATATGAATGTGCAAAAAAACTAAAGCTTTGTTGGTAACGGGGAAGCGTCTACGAAAGCGCATGGTCCAAGATACAGGAAAAATAGGAGTAAAAACGGATAACGCAGAAATTGAACAAGTCGCAAACCACAAACTTCTTGGTATGATCATTGATGAAGATCTAACTTACGAAGTTCATGTGGATAAACTCTGCGACAAACTTTCGAAGCGACTCGGCCTTTTACGCCAGTAGTATAGTACATGGCGGCACCGACGCATATCATATATTATGAATTTGACCTTGGGTTTTTGATGACGTCAACATTTTTTCCGAATTGGATTCCAGAAATTTGACCTTGGGAATCCACTTTGTAGGGGCTTAAAGAAATAATGCTTTATTTTTAGTATGCAGAATATAAACGCAGATATGAAAAATTTTATCTATAGTAATAATATAATTAGTCGACATAATGAACTTATAAGAAGATTGTTATCTGGGCTTACAGATGTGACCTCGAGAATTTAGTACGAGTGAAGGAAGAAGCACACCCTATTTCTGTTAGAAGGACTCCAATCTCAAAGCCAAGAAGGAATGTACAGCAATTAATCCGATATTTTGAGAATAATCCCATCCCATCATATAGACCGATTCCAGCTCCCAGAACAAAGAAACAGCACCCAATAGCAGTACCACGGACAAAAATTGGTGAAAAACGGAAGGCTCTCAAGGGCTTCACTAAATCATATGAGATCCGTTTGAAGACTGATAGAGATGCTTTGGTGCAGCTTCAAAATACGAGACTAGCAATTAGTGGATTATTTAACACTATACTCAATAATACAAAAGGTTTCAAATTTGTGGAGACGTTAAAAGTAACATTTGTGAAGAGAAAGGATGATGATAATATTTATAAGCCAGCTTATTTCAATAGTAGAGCGCAAATAGTAATTAATCCTAATGATTTTTTATCAAGCCTGCAATTATCACAGCAACAAATATTAAACGGTATTGGTGTTTGGTTGTCTGAGGGCAGGGGTTGGACTGTTAGTAGTATTAATGAACATTATATAAATACCGTAGTGTATGAGCCGATGAGAGGTAATTCCTATATTCCTCTACCGGTAAAATTACAGAATTCTGCTAAGGGGCTAATCAATCTTCAAAATAAGGATAATGAATGCTTTCGCTGGAGTCATATACGATATTTGAATCTGCAAGAAAAGGATTCCCAGCGGGTCAAAAAGACTGACAGAAAAATGGTCCAGGAATTAAATTACCAAGGAGTGGAATTCCCTGTCGCTGCTAAACATTATGGTAAAATAGAAGAGCAAAATAGCATTAATATTAATGTGTTCGGTTATGAGAATGAGCAATTTTATCCAATTCATGTCTCAAAGCATAAAAAACGAGAAAGTATTGAACCTGCTGTTGATTACACAGGGAGAGAAGCAACATTATGTCCTTATTAAGGATTTTAATAAGATGATGTGCAATAAGACTAAACACCAACACCGTAAACATTTTTGTATGTTTTGTGTCCAGTGTTTTAGGACTAATGAGATACTAGCAAAACATAAGAGCAATTGCATGATAATAAATGGGGAACAGACAATAACGATGCCCGAGGAGGGCAGTACAGTCCAATTTCAGAACTATCATAAGCAGACGCCAGCACCTTTTGTAATTTATGCAGATTTTGAGGCAATTACAGAGAAAGTATCTGGATGTCAACCAGATGGTGTTAAATCTTATACTGATAAGTACCAAAAGCACACTGGCTGTAGTTATGGTTATAAAGTAGTCTCTTGTTGTGATGACAAATATTCAAAACCAGTGAAAATTTATCGAAGGGAGAAATCTATTTGCTACCTCATATTGGATATGCTCTTGGAAGTATAATATTACCAAAAAATGATTGTTACTGAGTTCCAAAAACCACTCCAGATGACAGACGAGGAGGAAGAATTATTCGAGGCTGCCGAGGAATGCCACATTTGTGGGAAGAAATATTTAGATACTGAAGTAAGAGTCAGAGATCATTGTCACATCACTGGACAGTATAGGGGATCAGCACACCAGGACTGTAATTTGAAGCTGAGAATTGACCCAGATAAATTCAAGGTGCCAGTCATTTTTCATCATCTGCGTGGGTATGATTCCCATTTTATAATGCAAGAAATTGGATCAATCGGAAAAAGTAATAATTTGAGCATTAATTGTATCCCGAATAATATGGAAAAGTATGTGGCTTTCATGCTGGGTAAATACTTAGTATTTCTGGATAGTTTTCAGTTCATGGCCAGTAGTTTGGAGAGATTGGCCGCCAATTTACCTACCAATGCGTTCAAGTATACTAGTCAGATGTTCCAAGATGAGAAATTAGCACTGATGAAACAGAAAGGAGTTTATCCTTATGATTACATGGACAGTTTTCAGAAGTTTGGTGACCAGCAACTACCCCCAAAAGAGGAATTTTATAGTATTCTTACAGATGAGGGTATTTCTGATGCGCAATATCAACATGCCCAAAAATTCTGGAATACTTTTAATATGAGGACAATGGGCGAGTATCATGGTCTGTATCTGAAATCTGATATTCTCCTATTAGCTGATGTTTTTGAGAACTTTCGTAAGACCTGCCATCAGTATTACTAGATCCCTGTCACTATTTTACGTCTCCTGGGCTATTCTGGGACGCTATGTTGAAAATGACCGATATAAAATTAGAGCTTATGACGGATGTTGGTATGTTTCAGTTTATAGAAAAGGGATTACGCGGCGGTATTTCTTATATTGCTAACCGACCCGGGGAAGCTAATAATAAATATATGAGCGGGTATAATCCAGAGAAACCAAGTAAGTATATTACGTATCTAGATGCGAATAATCTTTTTGGATGGGCGATGTCTCGATATTTACCAACAGGTGGTTTTAGGTGGATGACTGAAAAACAAATACAAAAAGTAAATATGGCTGCTTGTGCAGAAGACAGAAAAGAGGGTATGATTTTAGAAGTCGATTTGGAATATCCTAAAGAATTACATGAGCTGCATAATGATTATCCTCTAGCCGCGGAGAAAATAAAAGTTACCAAAGAAATGCTTTCTCCTTATTGCGAAAATATTTAGGAGCAGTTTGGAATAAATATTGGCCAGGTTGCTAAGCTAATTCCAACACTATCTAGTAAAAAGAATTATCTGTTACACTACAGAAATCTACAACTCTATTTGTACTCTTGGTCTCAAACTGAAGAAAGTACACAGGGTATTAGAATTTGACCAGTCTCCCTGGCTCGCACAGTACATTAATTTTAACACCCAAAAGAGGATGAATGCTAAGAATGCATTTGAGGAAAACTTTTTCAAGTAATAAAATAATTCCGTATTTGGAAAAACCATGGAAAACATAAGAAAGCACAGTAATCGTGCGTTTTTGGGGGATCAATTGATGACACTTTTCCGAAAATACCATAAGCAATCATACAGTTTTTTGTCCAATTTTTTGGGTAGGTGTTGAGATCAATGCCCGATTGGGGTATATTAACATAAAGATCCAGACAGTTTTTTGAAAGTTTACAATTATTTTGATATAATACATATACGCAGTGTTCCCACTACTATTTGTGTACCGGTGAAAAAACTTTTGTACCGTAAACCAGCAACTGATACCCCCTTTGATGTGGTTTTATCAATTGTAGCAACTGATTTATGCCATAATTGGTAATCTAATTTGAGGATTTCAATACACCGAGTACAATCTTTATCTTTATCTTTATCAAGTATATATATAAGAGTATCCTCCTTGCTGATCTTTTATAATTGTTGTATATAGAACTTTGTGGTTGTATTGATGGTAGTTACCATCTTGGGACATTAAATTATCAATTTTAGTAATGTCAAAACTATCCGCCTGAAGATCAGTCCATGCTAATCTATAAGTCATTAGGTACTTGAATTCATTATTGTAACTGCTGGCTTTAACATGAGATTTTTCCAAATACTGCTTATTAATAGCATCAGTAGCATCAGTCGGGTCAGCTAGATTGTAAATCCTATTATTGACCATATTAAATTGGTGGTAAACATATGGATTAGTAATTTGTACAAAAAAAGCATTTCCAGTGTTCCGGCTTATTGCTTGATATTGTGAAGTAAGGATAGCATTGTTTAATATTATATGGCCAGTTACAGTGCCACCAGACAGTTTCAAATAATTATCATCTATGTATTTCTTATTAACCCCATCTTTATCATCAGTTGGTTTGGCAAGATGAGTAATTATATTATTGGACATATCTAGGGATCCTGCCATTACTCCACTGGATTTATCAAGGAATTTATTTTCTGACCATATTTTTGTAGCTGGTTGATTATCACCATTTGGTTGTGCTACATTGTATATCCTTTTGCTATTCATATCCAAATTGCCGGTCATTAATCCACCAGAAAGTGATAGTTTAGTATCAAGTTGCTGTTTTGTTACTGCATCACTGGAGTCAGTTCCTTTAGCCATATTTGTCAGTTTTTGTTTGTCATATCATAATTCCCATCTGATATGAGATTAAAACCAGTGCCTGATGCACCAGTAGCACCACGAGGGCTAGTGGGGCCACTGGGACCAATAGGACCGCTGCACCAGTAGGGCCAGTAAAGCCCCGAGTCCAACGAACACCGGTCGGGCCAATAGGACCATGAACACCAGTAGGGCCTATGGGGCCAATAGGCCCACGAGGGCCAATAGCACCAGCTACACCAGCGGGGCCAGGCGGGCCAGGAGGTCCTTGAGGGCCAGTAATTCTTTGTTTTCCTTTCGAGTATGATTGATTATAATTAGGTTGCTGATTAAAAATTCCCATTTTATAATAGTGTATTAGATATTTCCATCCACTACTATTTTGTTATTTAGTTATTTCCCTTACATGAAATCCGTTTGCTTTTAACAGCTTGGCTTCTTCATTAGTAATTGGATCATCCATCCCAATAACTCTGCCAATAATCCGAGCTTGTTCTAAAGATCCATGTTTGTGATTAAGAAGTTCATATAGACAACCCTCTGATAGATTTTCAAATAATTCAGTAATCATTCTACCATATTTGACATCTTCAATTTCTAGATATACTTCCATATAAATAGATTATATTAATTATTAAGTTGTTCTCTTTGCTAGTAGGTTATTTGATTTGGTTGGATAATTTGTCCAAGAACTGAACCAAGAGCCCGTTTCATATCTAGTATATCTTTTAATATTACAGGATGGAGGTCATACAACAATTCAGTTGCCATTAGAGTATACTGGAGACTTTTAAATTTCAAATGTACCTTCATATATTATTGGTTAAATAATTATCTACCAGAGAAAGGATAATACATTATATATTTCCATAAAAGTTTCTTTTGACTGTTTTCATTGGTTTGTCAACATACAGGAATGAGTAGGGTTGTTTGGTGGCTTTAATATATTGATCCTTTGTTACATTCAACCCTCTAGAAATCATATTTCTATCATTACTGCTAGGGAAATCATAAACAACATAATGACTGCAGTTTAATCTGATATCTTTTGGTGTTTTATAAAATGATTGTGACAGGTAAAAAACACTACAGTTCTTATGACGGCCTTGAATGAAATAATCGATAAGCGGCTTTTGGTTTTTATCACAAATGAAGTCATCAAATTTTACAATTTTCTGGGCATCACTCTCCAGACTATTGACAGGTTTAATGTCATCATTATTGCAATGCATTATGTCATATCCAACCTGGCCACTGATATTATTCATTGTTTCTATCATATGTCGATACTTTTCCTGTTCCAGGTTTTTACCGTATAAATGAATCTGATCATAATAGACTAACGGTTTCATAAGGATGTGATAAAGCAGGTTTGTTTTGCCTGAACCTGAATTGCCGCATATTAGCATCCTAAAATTGGATTTGGGCATATACTTATACAGTTGTTTAAAGTTTGTATTTTCAATTAGATTGAAATCATAATTTGGAATCTCCATATACTATTATGTTAGATAACTTAAGGTAAGTTCAGATAAGTTTTTATATAATGTAATAGTATAATGGATATTAAAAGATTTAAGAGACTCAGTATCCCTAAAATTGAAGCAGGAAAAATGACTGAAGTTGTCAGGGATGTTATAAAAGAAGAGCAAACTAATAAGCAGAATGTTTACGAAAAGACATCTGAAGATCTGAAACCTCTAACGGGAAAGTTTGATAAGGAAATAGAAGACATCAGTAAATTGAGAGAAGACGTTAATAAAAAAGTTGTCCCGTACGCCGAGCAAGTTCAAAGATTAGCATTACCAGTCCCAAGTGGTGAGGTGGCCCCTAAGATGGTGGCTGATATGAATAAAGGATTCACTCAAGAAGAATTGGCATTCATACAAAGCCAGCAATTGCCATTACCAGCTGACATCTTTTTTCAAACCTTAAAGGGCCAAATTATGCGCAACAAATTCTGGAAAAATCTGGTGAAATAAATAAGGAATTAGGTCAGAAAAAAGGCAGTTTAAGCACAACAAAAACTAATAGAAAGAGAAATAAGGATGAAATTGCTGAATATGCTGAAGGGATTGACATCATAAAAAAATACAGACAAAGAATTGGTATTTTAGAGTAATGCGCAAAAACATTGAAAGTTGGTCAGGGTATTTATACACAAAAAAGAGGAATGCTTATAAGATTAACCCTAATACTGGTGTTTATGGAAATGTAACCATTGACTTGCCCAAACTTTATGGGCAGATAACCTAATTGCTCATAAGGATGGTAAAAACGTCTATGATAAGCAGGTGGACTTTGATACCCTTGATCTGCTCACAAAGCGGTTCAATAGTAAAAAGAAGTATTCACCATTATCAAAAATGGTATTTGATGACCTGAACAGAAGAAGTGATATTCCAATTCACCGAACAAGTAATAAATACAAAAAACTCGGTGCAGGTGTTGTTTATTATAATAACCCAGCTGACCTTTTGGACAAATTGGAATTGTTAGGTGGATCCATATTGGCTGGAAATAATGTTGTGAAAAATGAATTTTCCAAAATTGCTCACACATAAAACAAATTAGGTGTTCAAAATAACACCCAGCTTAATAGTCTGTTGAAGGAATATGTAATCTAATAATATAAATGCAAGAAAGAGCAATCCATATATCATCTGTTGATAGACAAAATCGGACAGAATAAAGCAGAAGATTTTTTTTGCAATGACGCGAATCACGCGGTTAATATTAAGAACTTACTTGAGTACAGTCCATCTTACGCTGATAAGACAGCTAATAATGAGTTTTTCTATCTTGATACATTCAGAAATGCAGAAGAGCGGGAATTTGAAGTCAGTGGCACAAATCAGTTAGCCAAAAGAAGAGCAGCTTACAATAAGGGTTTTGCTCTTTGGAAAGCACTCCTAGCTACCTCATCAACAGTAAATACTGAAATACCGCTGAATAGATACTCATTCTTTGAAATGTTAGAGGATGAGCTGTTACCTAATACAAGGGTTGAGATGAATTTTGAGATTAAGTCGGATGGTAATCTAATTTGGCAAGCTGGAGCTGATTGCAGAGTGGTTATAACAAGGATGCAATTGTATGTTCCACGGAAAACCTTTAACAGTGAGGGCCAATCATCCTACATGAGTCAGTACCTTAAAAATCATAAGTGGACTTATTTGGAGAGAATATAGAAAGATCAAGTACTAGCCGCCAGAGAGCTGGGCATTTTAGAATCTCAACTGGTATCTCAAAACCCAGACACCTGTTTGTGTTCATAATCAATGATGCTAATATCGATAACCAGACAGCTAATCCATTCCTCTACAATACATTCTCCGTGTCAACTGACCCAAGAACCTTATCCAACTGTCACCTGGAAGTCGGAAACGGTAACCAATACCCCGAGATACATTACACACCAACTACTGATATGACCAGAGTCTTTAGGGATGTGTTGAAATATGTTCACAAAAATAATGAATACGGTGAAGGGTCATTACTTAATAAATCTAAGTTTAGTACCCTTTTTCCGTTGTGATATTTCGACTTAACAAAGCAGAAAATGGACATTAAGGATGGCACTACAAAACTAAGTTTTAAATATGAACTATCAGGAACAACAGCAACAGCCTATTCTATTTACGCATTAACATTATATGAGCAAGATGTTGAGCTAATTCAAAAGGATGGTAAAATAATACTCAGATCGTAGATTGAATATGGTTAAAATTATGTAACATATATTATACACAAGTAATGACGAAATATTATCCTTATGGTGTGTCACTTAGTGAAGGACAATTGGAAAAGCTTTCGCGAGCTTACAATAATAATTCTGCAATAACAATCAGACTTGACAGAAAGGAGTTATCCGGTCCACACGAATTAATACTCACAAAAACTCAGATCAATAAATTGAGAAAAGCAATGAGCCAGGGTACAGGGTCGGATATCAAAATATCAAAAACACAAATGATAAAGGCCGTTAAACAGGGTGGTAGATTGTGGGGATCATTATTCAGATTAGGAAGCAAGTTGCTACCTATGGCCATGCCTCTAGCTAAAAAAGCTATCGCGCCGCTTGCCACAGGAGCATTATCGGGATTAGCCGATATTCGGAAAAGGTCAACTAGGAGGTTTTCTTATTCCGCATGATAAAATAGCACAATGGATTGCATACAAACATTTACTATCTGCGGAACAGAAAAGGGATATTCTTAAGGCTCTCCAAATTGGCAGTGGATTGGTTATCAGACCAACAAAAACACAGCAGGGTGGGTTTTTAGGAACTCTACTAGCGAGTATAGGAGTCCCTCTGTTATTAAATGCATTAACAGGAAAGGGTACCCAAGTCGATAGTACTTGATCACCTTCAAATACAGTGTCAGTATATGTTCCCGATACAACTAATGGCCACGGAATGATAACCCCGTACCCTTACATGTCACCACCTTTTTTGGAACATGGAATAACCCAGTTGTTGCGGGAGTAAAAAAAAATAAAGGAAAAGGGATTACTGCTAGGCAGGCGTAATAGACACATTAGCTGGTACTGCTCTTGATGCGTTTGTACATCACGGGCTACCTTGGATGGGTAAAAAACAGTTGAGATGGGAAGATATTATGGGTCAGAAGCATTACGCAATAAAAAGTTACAGAAAAAAGCTATCGACTACGCTCTGGATAAATTGAATCCAGTAATACAGAATGTTGGATCTCAAGCTCTTGACCGATTATCAACCAAAATACGACCAAAGAAAATTTACAAAAGCAAACAGGAAAGATCTTGATGGAGGCGCTTTGGACATCCACAACGCCATTGGAAAATCACCAAGACCCGCAGGCGGATGGACCTTACCAGCGCATAAATACACCGGGCCCTACAACGATCTAGAAAACCAAGTAAGATACAATCCAGATACCTTCTCATGGTACTAGGTCTGTTCTCCAAACATGGCTGGATTGTCCCATTAAAGGATGAGAAAGGGGAAACTGTCACAGAAGCATTCAAAACTATCTTCAAAGAGGGCCGTAAACCACAATATCTTTGGACTGATAAAGGGAAAGAATATTATAACAAAAATATGAAAGAACTGTTGGAAAAGAATAACATAACACTAAACTCAACCGAGAATGAGGAAAAATCTAGTGTGTGTGAAGATGGAACCGTACAATTAAAACCAAAATGTGGAAGCAGTTTACTGTCCAGGGTAATACCGTATATCTAGACATACTACCAAAAATATTGCAGCAATATAACAACACCAAACACAGTTCCATTAAAATGACTCCTGTAGAAGCTAGTAAAAAGAAGAATGAAAGTGCCGTGTATTACAATCTGTATGGTGATATGAAGCAGTTGTCATCTAAGCCCAAATTTAAGATTGGTGACAAAGTTAGGATAAGCAAGTATAAGAGAAAGGTGTTTGATAAAGGGTACACACCTTATTGGACAGAGGAAATATTTCTTGTTGATAAAATCCAATCCACAAACCCAATTACCTACAGATTAAAGGATCTCAATAATAAGGAAATACAAGGCAGCTTTTATGAACCAGAATTATTACCGGCAAAACAGAATGTATTTCGCATTGAAAAGGTCATTCGGAGGGATTATAGAAAGAAACAAGCTCTGGTAAAATGGTTGGGTTATAGTGATGATTTTAATACTTGGATTCCACTGAGCAACCTGCAAAAGTTATCTAACTAATAGTATATATGGAGGATCATATAAGAAAGATTGATACTAAAATCCGTAGTAGGGAAACCGAGCTTAATGTACTATACACTAAAATCCAAAAATTGGAAGAAGAGATTACGACATTACACCACAAAAACATAATCTCCAAAAAACTGAAAACAGCAGAAATGTCATTAACTGGCGTCCTAGGTGCGATCTTTGAAACAGAGGAAGAAGAGGAGGAGAAAGAGTAAAGATATTGTTAAGATCCTAGGTTATAGCAATACAGAATGAGACAGTTTTATTGGGGTGGTAAAACGCCACCTCAACCTTGAAGCTCTAAAATGGAGCGACAGGTCCAAGGTGCTGAAACGGCACCTCAGGCCTAGCATACTTTTTAATCTATCATATATACCATAGAAGATAGAAAATAATGTAACCTATAGAAAATAATGTAACCTATATATATGGTATATATGATAGAAAAAAAGTATATCAATCAAGATATGACTTCATATTCATTGAGCTGACTTCATATATTGATAGTAAGCAAAATGTTTGGTTCCGAGGAAAGGATATTGCTGAGATCCTTGGATATAAGGATACTCGTCATACACTAAAAAGACATGTATCAAAGGAAAATACAATGATCCAATTATGTTGCACCCCTAAAACGGGGGATCAACAAAGTAACTCAATTGTTGGCGTGGACGTTTCGCCCCCTCAACAAAATGACTCCAGAGGGAAATATTACACATTCATTAATGAACCCGGCTTTTATGAACTAGTATTTAGCTCCAAATTAGAAAAGATTCCGCTAATGGGTATTTACTACAGTCCTCCCATCAATCCCCAAATATGGCCAACACAAACTATTTGATAGTCCCTGGAATAAAATGATTATTATCTCTTTTAATCAGTGCCATGCAAAGAGTTCTGGGTTTTTTTCTCGGGAAAGTTATTTATAAAAGCAACAGAAAACTTTTTTATAGTGTTTGTATAGCCTGATATAAACACTCGAGGCGTTGGGAGAATTCCAACATTTATGCAAACCCTCGACTTCGTCTGGGGTTTGCATAACTGTCTCGAATTCTCCCAGCCCCTCTCGTGTTTATATCAGGCTATGCAAACACGGAAAACGTTTTCTATTGCTTAAATATTCCTCCAAATGGTAGAATAAGCCTTAATAAACAAAAGTTGACCAATGAAATGGGACTTGTCTCAAATATTAAGTTAAAAGTCGTACAAAAACACACAAAAACCGCTCTAAAATCAGCGTTATAGCAATTAAAACAGCTACAAGAACCAAGAATTTCATGGCATCATAAAAAATACTTGTGAAGGATACAAAGGATCAGTACTCATTGAGCCTGAGCAACCAATAGAAAAAGCTGACTGTAAATGCGGTAAAGAAAACAATTGAAAATCCAATAGTCGACAAAATATTGGATATGATTGCAAAAGCAAATATAGACATGTTGGATTTTGGACTCAAAAAAATAACCAATAATCATTCTCATGTTGTATTCACAAAGGAGGATAAACATCAAAACCATCAGCCAGATCCTGACTCAAAAATCAAAATAAGATATATAACTATTTCAGTATGGTGATATGGTTGGGCTTAGATATTATTAAAGTCAAGGTCAAAATAAAAAACATATAGTTTAACCCAAATTCCAGGAAAAATCCCAAGGTCAAATTTCTGGAATCCAATTCGGAAAAAATGGTGACGTCATCAAAAACCCAAGGTCAAGTCCATAATATATGATATGCGCCGGTACCGCCATGTACTATACTTATACTTATTACGCCATATTAACCCCTACTTAAAGAAAAACCAGAGGATAATCTAATTTAACGCAGTAATTAAACCTCTTATGATGTATGCAAGCACAGTATGGACTTTGTGCAAAAAAGAGCTACTTAAGAGAGTTCTCCGTATTCAGAAACGGGCCTCACGTATCATTCTTGAAGCACAACGCACAAGTCGGAAAACAGTAAGTAAACATTATTTAACAACCTAAGCTGGATCCCCTTATATAATGAAGCGTATATTAAACGTTGTGAACTGGCCTTTAAAAGGATAAATGTTAGTCAGTTACCTGACTATTTTTAAAAGCCCATCTCTAAGAAAAAACTCCGATGTTCACTCAAGAAACACGAGAAATTGTAAAGTGAACTTATTGTGCCCTCTAAACAGGAAAATCTCAGAGAGAGGACGCGCCTTTGCTGTAAGAACTGTAAAGGACTGGAACAATCTACCCCGATCACTAAAGACAAAGAAGTCTTCGAAATCCTTTAGGGCTGAATTATGGAAAGTACTTTTAAATTCTCAGAAGTCATATAGGATGCTCTTCGTTTTTAATAGTTTTTTTATTTTTATTTTTATCCAATTTTAGAAATATTTTTATTGTAAATTATAATTTATTGATTGTGTAGTTTTTATAAATTGTATTTTTATATTTTTAGAGGGCCACAAGTTGATCAGTAATGTTCAGTTACTGTTACTTTTAAGCGTCACCCTCATAAAATAACGTCTATTACTTACTTACTTACTTTACTACGAAGTGAAATGACCAAGTTTACTTAAGAACGGGAACGACAAGGCGATAAATTCTACCATCTCTGTCTGAATTCGGGCGTGGTCCCCTCTCTTCAGCTCCAACGAAAATTCCCTTCTTTTAAGTAACAGGGAGAATTGGGATAATCGCGAAAAAGTTTTAAAGGATGCGAAGTCTACTTTTCAGCGACGTTTTCATGGACGTCTCCGTTATCGGATCGTGAGGTCCCTAATTACGAAACTACGACGGCGACGGCAACGGGAACGTTAAAAAGGCAATAGGTTTAATGAGCAAAACAACAACTCTGCACTTGCATCACGCTTTTAGTGTACATTTCTTTACAGTTCCTGCATAACTAAGACGTGAAATGACCAAATTTTAAGTTTACTTGGGAACGGGAACGGCAAGGCGATAAATTCTACAATTTCTGTCAGAACTTGGGCGCGGTCCCTTCTCCTCAGCTTCAACCCAAATTCCCTTCTCTTAAGTAAGCGCGTCCCTTGGAATAGTCGGGAAAAAAGTGAAAAGATGCAAAGTCTATTTTCCAGCGACGTTTTCATAGACGTCGCCGTTGTTGGATTGTAAGGCCCTTAATACGTCCTCACTAAAACGTGACAAAAGTGATATAACGTTATAGTCGAGCAGTGACGTCAAAGAAGTGTACAAAAAGCATGATGCATGTGTTGTTGGTTTGCTTATCTAAGCTTATTATTGATCTTTTTTTTATGTTTTCGTTGCCGTCACAGTCGTCGTTGCTAAAGCTCCCTACTGATTTAATCCAAACGAAAAGGAAGACTACATTTCAGGTTGTATTCGCTGCGTCGGAAGCGACAAGCCTTTCTACGTAAAAACACAACAAGCTTATCCACCTAGAGCCGTTCTAAACGCTGTCAAGAACATTGTAAAAAAGAAATTTCTAACCTTGAGGCTGGAATTCTGTGAAGTCCTCATATATCCGGTCCATATTTCGGTGAGAACACTCTGGCAACTAACATGAGCCATAAATTCCTCGTGTTCGATGGCGTAAGCGAGTGATAGGCAGCTCTGCCCGCCCCAGTTCTTCAAGTTGTAAATGAGCAATTGCTTGGTGCGATCTTTATTAGTTCGAAAGCACTGATCTAAGAAGGCCACAGACAGTCGCTTAAACTCCCTGATAAGGAAAAAAGTAGCTCTTAGTTACTAGGAAACTTTTAGCCGTAGGCAGATAGTTATTTACTTCCAAAGTAAAAAGAAGATTTTAATCATATAAGAATTAGTACATCGCATACAAAAGAAAAATGAAATTTGGGACAATCACGCAGTTTTCAACGATAATTTAATCGAAACTTTGTCGTTTTTTATTGACTAAAAACTAAATAATTGAATGTTAATGCAAATTTAGAGTCTTGATAAGCTTATATGGCTGTCACCGTATAAGAGCACTATACCACGCTTTACAAATGTGGTCAGTGTACGCATCTGTAGTGTCGTTACCATATATATATATATATATATATATATATATATATATATATATATATATATATATATATATATAGAGGATATTACACGGTGGCGAGAAGATATGAATTTTATGTTCGAGTGGCAAGAACAATATCTCACGAGTGAGCGAAGCGAACGAGTGAGATATTGTTTTTGCCACGAGAACATAAAATTCATATCTTCGAGCCAACGTGTAATGTTCTTTTTATTATATGGAGAAACCATTTCAACAAAAGCAAAAGGCGGGAGTCGAGACGTCATTGAACGATAAGACACTCACAAAGGTGACATACGGAAAATACGCTACTCGGGTCCCGGATGAAGTGGCGTATGGAATCTACGAGTGGTTTAGTTCCCAGTAAAACACTCTCCTCCATATAATAAATATATATATATATATATACAGTGTACCGTATATGGGATTGTGTTGTGTAGGATCGCCCCGATGTGTGGGCAGGAGGTTGTCAGATCGGTGTAATAAGCATGTAGATTAAACGTCGGTTATCTATTACTCTGAACTCCTTGTTATAAAGCATCTTTACATTGGGGACGAGGATTCTCTGACCAAACAAGTGGATGGTTCTATACGATAGTCAGACAGAAGAACACGCGAAACATGGCCGCAGCGCTACCTACGTTCCCGGAGTTTGACGTAACCGATACCAGCACACAAGCTGCTGGGTGGAAGAACAGGTGGTGTGGGTACTAAGATTATGCAAAATTTTCAAGATGGCGGCGAAGGTCGAGAAATTTCGCTGGTTATATGCTTTATTTTTCAACAGATATATTTCTTACCTTCGATCGTTTTTCTCAATTTCATAACTAATATTTGTTTAGATTTTTTCTGTGAAGAAAAACAAATCTTAATGCTTCATTTCAATCTAAAACGTGGAACACGAAGATTCCTCCTGTAAGAACATGAAATTTGAACCCAGTTTTTAAGAAGCTATAATTTCCATTATATTGCCCGACGAAAGTAGAAGTTAGTTTTAAGTGTTTCTACAAACCTTGTTCCACGCTAATTTTTTATCACTGCCCAACGTGCCCCACGTTTTGTGATACTTTTGCCGAATCAAAACCGGCAGGTTTCCATGGGAAAATGTAGCCTCGCGAAGAAGAATGTGGCATGTTACTGGAAGTGTTACTGTTGTAATCACAAGCTAATCACAAAATAGCGGGGAAGCGGCGACTGGTTCCTCCAAACAATAGCATCAGGTGAGCGTAAAATGTTCCAAATTGGTATATAAATAGGCTGATGAGTACCCTATGTATGAATATCTGTTTTTGTAATAGGACTCAAAAAAACATAGTAAAATTCCAGTCATACATGTGATTCCCTTATGCAGGTATAAAATCAGTAGGATAATAATTACAGGCATTAAATCAAATGATAAGTTTGATTAAACAGTTAAGCCCTGTGCATTTTGAAACCAGCCATGCTCTATGAAAAATGATTTTTGGGAGAAATGCAAGAGTGGTGCAGTGTAGAGGACGAATTTCATAACATCCAGAAGCTTGCACTTTACTTTTATCCAGAGAAATATGCACATCACTCTAAATCATACTCTACTTCAAAGACTAGTGTGTGTTGTTGTGTGGATGTTATGACTATGTCAGTTTAAAGGTATCATGAATTTGATTACTGATTCGACTGCTGAGAAATTCTGCCAAGGCAGCTAGGCAACAAACTGCTTATTCAGTGGTGACTAGCCTCTGTAGCAGGCATTTGAAAGGAAAGGAAAGGGGTTGTGGGTGCGAAAGAAATGCGAAGAATGATTAGCGAAGGAGGGAGTGATTTCCACATTCACCTGGTGGATGTTCATAATACAAAAAACAATAGTCTCCTGGCAGGCATTTCCCTCCCTCCTCTCATTTCTCTTGCACCAAAAACCCACTTTCCCTTCCATTTGAAATGCCTGCCACACAGGCTAAGTGATCGCATTCAATCTTTTTACCCTTTTACACTGCTTAATATATATCAAGCAATTTGCATATTTTGGTGGCTTAAGGTAAAATATATATTGCTTGATCATTGAATGTACTTTTGATACTAAAGAACCAAGGCTGAGAAAATGGTGACGGGGGAAGGAAATATAAAAAGTGAAACAATGGGACAGTAAAACCGTGAGGCTAAGAACCTGAATTTAACCAAGTAAGCCTAAACAGGTTCTTATATAAATAGTAGTTAGCACAAGTTTAGACTATTTAGGCTTTTAAATGGGTTCATATTTTCTGAAGAAAAACTATAGCCAAGAGTATTTGTGTTTCACCTTATTCCTCATATAAAGTCTGCATACCAAATTAGAAGTTATGCGAGAATGGACATAAAAAAGAGGAGTGTATTTTATTTGTAATTGTATCAATATAACAATTTTATTTAATTTAAACATTGGCATTTACATTGCAGTTGGAGAGATAAGACAGCTTTGTCTCAAAAAAGATTCTAAATGTTGATTTATCTTTGCTCAAGTGTACAGAATTTTTTCATAGATGTCAAAAATAAGAACCTGTTTCAAATTTTAGGCTGAACAGGTTTTAATATAGAGGGAGCTCATCTGGCATATTTTAGCCTAACAGGTTCTTGAAATTCAGGTTCTAAGTCACGGGGTTTTACTGTACTACTAGGATCCGACCAGTGCAATAATTGGTAAACCCAAAAGCCCCCTTTACAGACAACCGCTTAATACAGACACCTCTTCAAGGCCGTGCTCTAGCAGAGCCCGGTGGCCCCTGGTGTCTAACTTTTGCTCTTGGGTGACTAGAAAATCTCCGACATTTCATACAAATCATATGCTGGGCAGCCTAGATTTTACAGGTTCAGAGAACTGGGCTCCTTTCAGTGTTCCTTAGAGCACAGCCTTGCTCATCATTACAGACAGCTTGTTTTGCTCCCTGAAAAAAAAAAACCCTTAAATTTTCTCTAAATTAAAATGGACAATTTCTACGGTCCCCTCAGTGTCTGTACAACAGGGTTTACTGTAAATATAATGAGATCCTATGACACCATATTTGAATTGGGAAAAATTGGGGGCTGGGAGGGACATTACAAAAAAAAGGAAAGGGGTCTCCCGCTATGTTGCCTCAACCTTTATTACAGGAGATTTGTAAACATGTATGAATTTCACATTTTGAAAAGTTTTTGTAATACAAACAAATATGTAATAACATGTGTTTGTACATACTGACATAATCATTAAACAAGTTGTGGCTGAATAGCTTTTAAAATCTACTGACTGCATCAGGCTTTGTAATCGCAAATATGCCATTTTCAGTTTCAATCCAGTTATGAGACATTCTATGACTCATACCAATAAGAAATATATATATGCAAATTTGCAGTATTGCTTGAATAAAGGTGTTCAATATTATCTGATAAAGAGGACACAAGTCAATCCTTGTACACAAATACTCTCTACTTTATTTACTTTGCTTTATGTTATGATAAATACAGATGTTAAACAAAACGAAATGCAGACTTGGTGCCAGCACAGAACTAAGTCCCTGAAAAGATGTCCCCCTCAACTTCTCTTACTATATCTAGCAAGTGAACATCTTGCAATGCTGAATGATAAAAGAAAGTAAGCTTACTGTGTTTAAATTAACCGGGGCCGGGTATTCTGAAGACGCTCCTAGTATTTTATGAGTATATCACAGCTATGCATGTCAGTACCTCTTAGCACTAGTTGCACTGATTTCACGGTGCATTCAAAATTTTCGGCGAACCGCACATCTTACCTGCAGTGCTTTTCATGATTGATGTATTGAACAAAGCGATTCTGTGCCGACTTAGTCTGAAATTCATCCGATTGCTTCGAGTCGTTATTTCCTCTCAACAACGACGTTACTGAGGGAGTAATAACGACTCGAAGTAATCGGATGAAATTCAGGCTAGTGCCGACTTTTCTCGGTCAGTTGCAAACAGGATGCAAGTGACAAGGAAGAAAACACACCAGAATACACTTATCAACGGAATGAGACTGTTTATTTCCTTGAGAATTCGACAGACTTTGTTTTTTGAAAGCTTCCGGAAGAGATTCAAAGCAAAATCGTATATTTCTACAGCGTAAGTAACGAATATTCACCCCGCAGTCGAGATGTTTACTCCACGCCATCTTAACACAAATGATCAGATTTTGAATATCGCCCATGATGCGTAGCGATCGTAGTGCGCACACCACCTGGTGAAAGAAAAGGCTTTCGAGATTCCGCAATCTACTCGTTGCGATGAACATCACAGACAAGAAGAGGAAGCGAGCATTGTTGCTCCATTATGCCGGCGAAGCCACGAACGAAATTTTTGACACGTTACCTGATACCACACCGGGCGAAGGTGAAGACACGTTCGAGAAAGCCTTACAAGCCCTGACAAACTTCACTCCCAGACAGAACCGTCAGTACGAGATTTATATTTTCCGTCAGGCTAAGCAAAAGTCAAACGAGAGCATTTAAGCCTTCCACACGAGACTAAAACAACTAGCAGTGACCTGTGAGTTTGCCGACGTCGACCGCGAGATCAAGACACAGATTGTTCAAAGTTGTAGTTCCCACAAGCTTCGCACAAAAGCGCTCGAGAACCCGTCATACACTCTGACGCGACTGTTAGATGCCGGAATAGCCATGGAGCCGTTAACATAGAAGAGAGTCAAACCGTAAACAAGTTGTCCTCACGTGGTGGCTATCGAAATCAACGGAATTGGAACGCCAAAGCTGGCACAAACGAAGATGGCGGACGCGCAACTGACAAGAAGTCACGCAACTGGAAGTCACGCGGTGATGGTCACGAGATCCGGAAATCAAGTGATAAGTGCGGAAGTTGCGGTGGACACTACTCCCATCCCGGAGGAAAAACGTCCTGTCTCGCTTATCAAGCCACTTGCCGGGGCTGTGGCAAGTTAAACCACTTTGAAGCAGCTGTATGTAGATCCAAAGGAAAAGGGAGTAGCCGAAACAAACGCCGACCCACAGTGAACAAAGTGAGCAAGGACGAATCAAGTGACGAAGGTGAAGTATACACGTTCTCCCTGAGTACGAAGACCCTGAAGGATCAGCCTCTCTTCAAGATCAAGGTACATGACATGCCAGTAACGATTATGGCTGACTCTGGAGCGAGCATAAATATCCTGGATGAAAAGGAATACCGCAGGTTACCCAATTGTCCCAAGCTTGAACCGTGTAGTGTGAAAATTTAAGGCTACCAGTCAAAAGTTCCCCTTGGCGTCCTTGGGAAATGCAGTACCACTTTTGAGTCGGAGACGAAAAAGCTGCGCGCCAAGTTTTATGTGGTGAAGGGATCCAGTGGCTCCTTGCTCAGCTGGAAGACTTCACAAGATCTTAGTCTGCTTCAGACAGTTTAGCAAGTCAAACTCCTACCGTCGAAACTGGAAGCAGGAACACCTTCGGGTGTATTTGCAGAATATGACGACCTGTTTCATGGGCTAGGCAAACTTAAGAACTATCAGATAAAATTAATAATAATAAGCCATCCTCTCTCAAGTGGACCCGAAAACTGGGGACAGTCATGTTATCACCTACGCAAGTCACTCTCTTACAGCAACCGAACTGCGGTACAGCCAAACAGAGCGCGAAGCCCTCGTTGTAGTTTGGGCTTGTAAACATTTACACCTGTACATTTACGGGAAACCGGTCACAGTCTACACTGATCACAAGCCCCTAGCGGCTATCTATGGCAATCCGAGTTCCAAGTCGCCTGCAAGAATCGGGAGATGGGCTCTACGACTTCAGCCGTACCAGATCACAGTCAAGTATCGAAGAGGAGAAGTTAATCCCGCAGACTATCTCTTGCGTTACCAAGCCAAGCATGGGGCTGAAACGAGCCGGCAACAGAAAGTCGCAGAGGAGTACGTCAGCTACCTCGCAACCTCCTCTACTCCCAAAGCCTTGAAGACACAAGAAATAGAGACAGCCACTCAGGATGATGCAACTTTGCAAGCTGTAGCAGAAGCTATTGTGAAAGGCAGTTGGCACCATGAAATCAGACGTCCCTGCGTCAATGCCGTTGAGTTTCGCCTTCTCGAGAGGGTGAAGGATGACTTACCGTAAGGGCGTCTGGCAACCTTATTCTACGTGGAACCCGCATAGTCGTCCGGAAGAGTCTACAAGACCACGTGGTCAACGTCGCACACGAAGGCCACCAAGGGCTCGTGAAGACTAAATCACTGTTATGAGAGAAAGTTTGGTTCCCGCACATTGATAAGCGGGTTGAAAGCAAGGTGAAGTCATGCGAAGCCTGCCTGATTGCTACTCCCGAGTGCAAGAGAGAACCCTTGCAGATGTCGCCACTCCCAGCAGCGCCTTGGAAAGAAATTAGTATTGACTTTACTAAGATCCCAAACAAAGAGTATCTCCTTCTGATTACTGACGACTACTCCAGGTACCCAGTGGTGGAAACTGTGAAATCAACCGCCGCGACAACGGTCATACCAAAGCTCGACAAAGTGTTCTCAGAGTTTGGAGTCCCTGATGTAGTGAAATCTGATAATGGGTCCCCGTTCAACAGCAAGGAGTTTACAGCATTTGCAGATGACCTTGGCTTCAAGCATCGAAAAGTGACTCCAAAGTGGGCACCGGCAAACGGAGAAGTGAAAGATTTGTGCGCACCGTAAAAAGGTCATTAAGACAGCAAAGTCGGAGCACAGGAACTACAAGCAAGAGTTAAACAAAATGCTGAGGAAGTACCGCGCTACGCCGCACAGCACTACAAGAGTTGCCCCGACGATAGCACTGTTTGGCAGGCCAATGAAGACAAAGCTACCTGAGGTGACGACACCCTACTCAGACACTGCTATCAGGCAGCGTGACCAAGCAGCGAAGGCTAAAATGAAGGAGCACGCGGACAACAAGCAGTACTTTAAGCCGTCGGCCATCAAAGAAGGCGACATTGTACTGGTCAAGAGAGACGAGACAAAGAAGAAAGGTGACACACGGTATAACCCGATACCGCGGACTGTCATCAAGAGCAAAGGGTCTATGGTCACTGCAGAAAATGCTGAAGGCGTCCCTGTTACGAGAAACTCTTCGTTCTTTAAGAGCGTGCTCGACTTCAAGACCTCCCGTGAAGGGCAAGGGGACTCCCACGGTGATGGTCCTCCGTCGCAGCTCAATGTTGCGCCTGCGAGACGCTACCCCAGCGTGCACGAGCACGTTTGCTGACTATGTTCTTGACTGATACTCCTTTACATGAGAACTCTTCTATAAGGGTTTTAGGACTTTTATGGACCCGGACACTTTCCGTTACTCTATTCCGTATTCAGTTATGTTTACTTTCGGGCATGTTATATTCTTCGTTTGATTCATAGTTGTTTAGCCTCGGTGTGCGGAATTCTCTCCAGAGAGGAGAGGGATGTAGTGTCGTTACCATATCTATATAGTGTTGCTACCGTATATGGGATTGTATTCTGTAGACTAGGATTCACGGATGTGTGAGCAGGAGGTTGTCAGATCGGTGTAGTAAGCATGTAGATTAAACGTCGGTTATCTATTACTCTGGACTCCTTGTTATAAAGCATCTTTACAGCATCTAAGACATGTACATTATATTACAGAGTGGCTGAACGGTTAGAGCGCTGGACTTGTAATTCAGAGGTCCTGAGTCCAAGTCCCGCCCTGACCGCCAGCTGGATTTGTTCACGGTAGTTCCGAGTTCAAATCCTCGGCCACGCTAGCAAATAGCCAGCTGGTTTGCCTCCGGCCAGGGATTCTTAGCCCTGTTAAGTTCAATTTGAATTATTTATTTGTTTCAGTCATCTGCTCGACCCCACTAGCATAAGTTCTATAAATAATGCCGAGGGTAAATATTATTATTATTATTATTATTATTATCATAATAAGTTACGGCTGGGAAATAACGGACACGCCCATGACCTGAGCATGCGGTGTTCAATGTAGCGTGGATCATGCAATGGTGTGTCAGCGCGGCGGGTCCGTTATCCAGCGCCATAACGAACTGCGCGACTTGGAAGCAGAGATGCTAAAGATCGTCTGTAATGATGTGGAAGTAGAGCCGGTCCTTCAGGAGGTCACTGAGGAGACATTAAATCATGGCGCTAACAAAGCCCCTGATGCCCGTTTGGAAATTCATGCTCGAGGCTTTTGGGAGAGACAGAGATCTGCCTTCTTCGATGTTCGGGTGTGTCACCTTAGTGTAGACTCTTACAGAGACTTGACTCCTAAGCAAATGTACAAGAAGCATGAGAACGAGAAAAGGAGGCAGTATGCGGAAAAAGTAATGGAGATCGATCAGGGAACGTTCACTCGCCTAGTTTTCACGACCACAGGTGGAATGGCGGATGAGTGTGTTAGGTACCACAACAGACTTGCGGAGCTGATCGCAGATAATTAGGGAGAAAGTTACTAAACCGTAATTTCCTAGATAAGAACTAAAGTCTCTTTCGCCATAGTACGCTCTGCGATACTATGCTTGAGAGGTTCAAGATTCAGAAGGCGACAGCTAGACCTTGTTGACACAGATTTACAGGTCGAAAACATTAGAGCCTGCCTCAATTATTATTGTTATTATTATTGTTGTTATTATTATTATTATTATTATTATCATTATTAAAGAAAGAAAATATTATTATTATTAATGAAAGAAACTCTTGAATTTTAAAGGCTGACAGTTTTTATTTAATTGAAATGAAATGTTTTTAACTCGAATAATTTTTGTTAGTTAAATTAACTCTTTCTAAGCTAAATTAAGTGCTTTTTAAATCGACAGGAATTGTAAATAGTGTTTTGAATGAATAGTTTTTTCTTTTTTAAGCGAATTACTTGTAAGTAGGATTTTAATAGTAAGCATTGTTGTCAATAAAATTTTTTCTTCGTATTATAATTATTATTGTTATAGATGACCCCCGCTCGGGTAGCTAATCGGAACGCAGGATTCACTTCATTTTTCCCGCGGAGGATTCAGCCATATAGTAAAACCAGTTATCAGCGGACTCTAAATGTCGAGGTTATATTCGCAACACTTACTCGAAATTCGCTGTGAGCTCGTCAGTGACATCCGCCTTTGCGTCATCGCGGTGTGTCAACCTCGCCATCAGCTTGTACACCTTTCCTGCTATGAGAGCACGCGCCAGATTCTTTTCCCCTCGCTCCCACATGAAAAGTGCCATTTTCTGCATGTTGCTGAGTACGGACCACAGAAGCAATGCCTCGTAAGGGTCGTCTGCTATGCACCTTCCTATTGTCTTGGGAAAAAAATAATTGAAGTGAAAACGAAATCCATTTTCTCTAAAAAGAGGCGAATTAATTACCTTCTTCTCCACCACAGAACTTAGAACACTCGAAAATTAAACAAGGTTTATTTGAACTTTGTAATAAACTGAACCGTACATATCAATGATTTGAAAAATGGCAAAACATTGAAACCCTTTAGACTGAGTATACGGTAAATAGAACATACAATGATTTTCCCTTGTTGGCTTTGTCGGGAAATATTGAAATTATTTCTTGTTGTACTCTTGAGGGTAGTGTTTCGTCTCTATGAAAGAAGAGGAGAGGGATTTTCCGTGCACAGTTTCACAAGTACTTCGACATCTTGGAGACCCATGGGCAGTTAGTTGTAACGGGATGGTTATGGGAGAGGTGGTTACGGGCTTTTCTCTCGGGAGTTAGTAAAACACCTACTCCAGGTCGGGGGTAGTGTTCTAAGTTTCGTTTCACAGAGGATGGGGATCTGTGCGGCTCTAGATAGCTAAGAAAAACTAGAAACTCATAAGGGCTTGAAACATGTAACTCTCTAATATGTGCTCGTGAATATTCATAGTTCGCAAGTACTATATTTGGAACGAGAAGAAAAGCTAACTGACCAATCAAACTTTGTAAACGACGTGACGAAATTTTACTCCCCTTCAAATTCCTGCGCCCGCTCAAAAAATTAGAAGCTTAGGCAACAATGATGACGATGGCTACGAAAACGTCACTTTAAGAGTGCATTCGCGCTACTTCAAAATTTATCGCGCTTATTCCAGCTCGCTCACTTCGTCAAATAGTAGTAACTTTTTCTTAAGTTGCATTCTAAAGCCCGCATCGAAATTCAGGAAACGGAAAAGAAAGTTGTTATGTTGTGCAGTTTCGCCGTCCTAAAAACGTGGAAGTGGGCACTTTCACGTCTTAGTTGTGCAGTGACGGCAAAAAAATTATCAAAAAGCGTGATGCAAAGTTGTGGTTAAATCTACTGGTTTTTTTGACGTTCTCGTAAACGTCGCCGTCGTCTTAGTTTAAGCTCCCTAATGGCCGAAAGACGGGAAAAAAAAACTTATAATGACCTCAAGTTTACATGAAGGCTCGTAACTTTGACTGGAATTGGTTGTTTCCTCTTTGTAACTTTATTGCACAGTTTATGTAATTGCAGAGCTTACGTATACTTGATTCGCACTAAGATTAGAGAATTGAATTTTATTGTCCATTGAACATTATCATAGCAGAGTTCCCACCTCAAAATTGTCTTGTCCCTGGTTAGTACCCCATAAATGTGGCCATAAGGCTTCTATTACATCTGAAAATTTGAAGCCTTTGTTAATCTGCAACGAATAGCATTCCAGTCTTATACAAGTGACAGTTTATTACATTAATTAATGTCACAGTTAATCTTAGGGTCTATGTTGAAACACTAAGTCTGTTCCCTTGTCTGTTACCTTGTCTTTTCCAATGAGTTCTTCAAGAACGACCCTCGATGGTAATCCCTCCCTCTAGAGCGAAAACACAGAAAGACGATTGGAATGTTCAGGGAATTCAATGTTTAAAATAATAGAGGGTTTAATTTTTACTGAGGCTGTGTATCTGCTTTGGAACGAAACGCTAAACTATTTGGAATTATTAGAGATTAACTATTAGAAGAGCTCAATTACTCCACTACTGCATTTAAATAAAATTTAGTAATTTCTTACGTATTTGGTTAACTTATGTTTGTCGGAAAATTGAGTCAGGTTTCAAATGTTAAAGCAAATGGAAAGGTAGGTATTTTAGTCGGAAGGACGTTAGTGGTTGTTAAGGAGATTTTTAGCGACTCGATATGATTTTCTACAATAGATCTAGCCTCTGGTTCCTGGCATGTGGCCGTTGATCACGCCTCTAAGGAAAAAGTAGCATCTACTTCATTACGTGGACTTCCGTTTAGACTACTAGGTTTATGAGTCCAAGGCTCTTAGGAGCATTTTTTCTAATTAAGTCATTGGTGGAGGTGTATAATATCAGTTTCAATATGTCTTCACGAGACGGCTGCACAGCCACTTGAAGGGTTGTCAAGAACGGACTGAGTACTCTCCTTCATGACCAATTAATATTACGGCTGTATTGAAGTGTTGTGTTAGAGCGTTTCCGAAAGCTGATTCAAACGCTTCTTTCCCCAAGTTTTCTTGACTGCACTTCCATTCGTGGCAACCACCAACCCATCCCTGTACGACTGACATAAGCACTGGCCAATAGTAACGTGAAAACGGGAAAGCGATATGCCATTTTATATTTGGGCGCTATGGTCTCGCGCTTCGTCCCTGAACAGCAATGATTTATAATTAATGAAGAGAAATAAACTGATTGCTATACAGTCTAGTCTTGTATGATGTACGAATATCTAAGTTGGTCTTACGTCGTCATGTGTTGTACTTACGGTCACTTCCTCGAAAAGGTTATTTAACCGATCTGTAGTCAGGAACTTCCTAATACTGACACCTATTTCTAAAAGAAGATCTACAAATTCCACGCGATTGTTGATTAAAGCGTCCTTCATCTTATCTTCCAAGGTGTCCATCTGTTGGATAAGCCAGCATAAAACAAATGATCAAGATAAACTACAATGCTTCATTTAACTAAGAGATCGCTATGATTTAAGTTGAACTTAATGTTCCATCAAAACTTGACGTCATTTGCGTTTCACATGCTGAAAGGCTGGTTTGCCATTTTAGTAAACTAGTCTGAAGATGGATCTTTACCATGAACAGTTTGTCCGGCTATCGGAGCAAACATTAGTCAAAACAAACTTGTCGAGTGCCAGATAAATAACAGCCTACTATTGGAGACGTCATGGAGAGTACTTTGCATTTGGGAAATTTTTTTTTCGGTTGAGCTATCAACATAGGAGGAACTATATCACTGCGCTAAATTTTTCCCAGTCGCCCTGTTAACTTAACTGTCGTAAGTGGATAAGCTAAGGGACGGCATCCCGAGCCGAGGTCGCAGGTTGCGGTTCAAACCTCAAATAGTAACAATGAAAAACATCTTTTTGCCTTATGATTATTTAACCCCCCCCCCCCCCAAAAAAAAAAAAAAAAAAAAAAAAAAAAAAAAAGATGCTGATGATTTAGTCAGCAAAATTCTTTCAAAAATAAAAGATTGGCTCCAGAACCCTCGTTTCTTTGAATTGAACGGTTTGTTGAAAAATGATCTTTGTTAATATAGGGTTCCACATGACTGAACCGCTGCCATTGTGATGTTCCAGATGTAATTAATCTAGCGCAAATTCCAGAGGGACTTCAGACACCTTTCGACGAAAACAAAGTTAAAGAAGAATTCTCTCTAAAAAGTGGTATGGATATCAGTTCACTGATAAAACGAGTGGTAAGAGCCCATCTTTACGATTGACATTGCCAAAACAAGACCTTACCTAAATCGTACGCGGAAGAACGTATATTGCCAATTTGTAATTGTTCTAGGTCATTTTAAATCCCTTGCCTATTTATTTACAGACCGAAAGTTACGCAATTTGTTTTACAACGTAGGTGCATAAATGCCAAGAGCTTTGAATTGCTCTTCGCGTCACTACAGGTTTACCGCAAACCAGCACTCTGTGCCCCTTGACAAGGAAAACCGTAGACTGTTGCTCTGAAAGCGGCGTGGTTCTTATCTATAGGAAGAGCGCTAGCGGCCACCATTCTTTGGTTTAATTTGGACTGTAGAGCTTATCCTGAAAGACGGTTATTGAAGTCTATTAACATTTTTCCGCTATTTTCTTACATTTGAACAGGTGTTTGTAACTTTTCTTTATTTACTCTGCTTGAAAGTTACTGTCACCACAAAGAGAAATGTTTCGTTTCTTCCTGGGGATCAGCTAAAGAGGGATTAATTTTACTTCTCGATACTCAGATTGGACTCGTGACAAAACTAACCTTCATCAGCATTTCGCAGCTCTGATTAAACTTCAGTTCTGAATGACCGAAATTTTGGGCAAAAAGTACTCTATTTTAGCTGAAAGATTAACTTGCATTTCGTGTTTTCATTTTCAAGGATACAAGTCTAATGCTAAATTCCTTCGGTCCTTGTCAACTACAAAATAAACTTTAATTAGACAAGAATTTTCATACCGAGCTTACATTTGTATCTAAGCCTCCCACTGTGCTTTTCGGTTCCCTATCAAGTACAATTACTAAGCGCTCACCTGGTCAAGTACAAAAATGTAATGCAACAACTGTCAACTTGCACGATTACACCCGTACCTTCCACTTTCGGTCTTTAGTAAAGATCTCAGTTCTAGCAATATCAGCTCGGTTCCACGTCAAGGCCAAATCAAGCTGGTATGAAGGCGAAGTACTTTTCGCTGCGAATGCAAACGTACGCATTATAGCCTCTGTAATAACTGTAGGACAGCGAATTAATTTTTTCAGGGGTTCTTTTATTGCCTTATCTAGCTAATGACCACAACGAAAATGATAGGGCAAACTTCTCACTTATGTCCAGAATTGAACTCTGCTACGAAATTTACAAAAGTAACGATTTTTCGCTGGCGAAAAGCGGCGCTGCGGATTTTATAACTTGTTCTCCTTTGCTGTGTATTTAAATAACAACACATCAGTCTACACTTCATCAGAATACATTGCATCTAAGATAATTATAGACAACAGCATTTAATGCCATTGGTATTACCGTATCTTTGAAAATGGATTATCCTGCCTACTACCATACATTGTAAATAACTGCTTAAAAAAGTGCTTTCAAACCTTTCAAAATAGCTTTCAAAATCAACTTGTCGATGTCCATACCAACGTCGTCCATATGGCATGTTGTGATCTGTAGGAAGGACGTTGAAGAGCTAATTAAACAAGTGGAACCGACAAAATTCTGCTTAATAACTGTAACACGAATCTGGGCTGAAATACCCAGCACAAATTATTACATTTATATGAGATGCACAAAAAAGGCCAAAGAAAAACCTAAAATTACTCGTTTTCTCAACTTACATACTGACTTTTCTTCACACATTCAAGTACATTGGAGTAACACTTAGACCATTCGTTTTCAGAGCAACCAGGGAAGGCTTTTTTAATTCTCAATTCAAGTATTTCGTGCTCTGCAACCTGACGAAAGTGCTTCATATCAAACCTGTCAACATAGCAAAAACCGTGTAAAGTGTTAAAATGTGTTTTGCCTTTAATTTTTGCAAGAGCTTTTAGATGATTCCTCCCTCAAAGAAACCCATAGTGTTAAGATTCTAAAAACATGATTGCCACCAAATCTTTAGTGAAATGATTTCAAGGTATATCCAAGCTTAAGAGAAATTTTGATAACACAAAAATCTGGTTTGAGTAAATGTACAGTCCAACAGTGACCAGTTAACGCAACTGCCATACCTTCTGGACATAAAAAGAAAAATATTATGAGAACGAATACGAACCCTTGATGTTCAATATACAGCGAGTAAGCATAAGCTAAAATATCAGCAGCTCTACCGCTACCATCCGCAATGACGACAGGCACTGCAGGAGTGCTTGTCACTGACTCTAACACTGTTCGAATAGTGTTTGGACCTCCCTCAAGGACAAGCAGTACCACAGGAATACCATTTGGCCTGCCGTTCTGAGAATTTTCATCTAAATAGTTGTATCCTGCAGTTTTAAAAAGAGAAGGGACGTAGTTATTCTTCTAAAAAAGAGAAAATAAAAAAAAAGAAAGTGGTAATGGTAGTAATAGTAGACGCTAACTTCAGGCCTTTCCCCTTTCCTTCTGCAAAAGTCGCCTATCAGTGGGGTAGCTCATCCAAATACAGCTCCATCTTCTTAGTTATCAATCAGCAATGCAGACGTTTACAACAGTGTATTCACAATCCCTGTAATATGACGGTAAGCAATCCATCTCGGCAGCTGACAACAAGTGACGTGGGCCTTTGCAGCATACACCAATTCTTGACAGACTTTTGCCGGAGGGATTGAGCCTCGTTCTCATTGAGGGGGCGAAAGTTAGAAACAATATATAACCCCAAAATGAATCTCAAATTCATCTACGCGGTTAAAGCCCCCAATTGCTTTCATGGGCTTGTGAGAGAGCGCTATATTGATTTAAAGGAAAACGACCACCAGGCATTATAAAAAACCTATCCAAACGACTGTTTCGGGGTGACGTTGCACTTCGATTACGTTAAAGACTATTAGAAAAAACTGAACCTTTTAGATAATTACTTTTGGAAATCTCTTTATTTGCCAAGCAGTTTTGAAGCCTTGCACGGAATTTGATCTCTCCTCCGTATTCTCCTTCAGTGCCATCGTCCACAAGCAAGAAGTGTGAATGATTGTTGTCGATACACCATCCCTGGTTCTCTAAGCTTGACGTCATGTGATATGTAACTAGATCCTGTGTTTAAAAAGATAATGAGTGTACTGTCAACTCTCTGTTGACCCACCACCTTTGGTTCAGGAGAAAGTGTTCGCTGACGCGAGATGGTCATTTGCCAGAAAAAGCAAGAAAACACGCCACAAACGAAATGAATCCACTAATTATAATGATATATAGCTGGCATTTTTTTTCCCAATAGCGCGCGCTCTCATTGGTTACTTCGAGGTCACATGACATCTAAAAATGAAACTGTTACCCGCCAAAATCTATGACGTCAGTGGGTAACAGTGCACTGTTACCTGTGATTGTCGATCGCTGTTACAGCGAGGATTTCCTGCTGTATAACAAATCTCTTAAAAACTTGTCCCTCGGGAAACAGTTAATTTTGTTTCCCTCGAATCTCAATGTTTCCCGAGGGGGATACTGGGGAGACAAAATTTACTGCTTCTCTCGGACAAGTCATTAGGAGTTTATTATCTACTGCTTTATAAGCTGAGCAGCCACTCTTTTTGAACTACTTGAGTTGAGGGAAATGTATCAAGCTCTCTTAACAGCGGCTCCGCGTAAATATCAACTAGACGAGGAAATAGTCAAAAGATGACCTGGCCTCAAACTTAGCCAGAATAAAGCCCTATGGGCCCTAGTTACAAAATCGTTGGTTTAAGTACGATCGAGTGAATAACATTTTTTTAACGAATTTTTTTCTTCCCGAGGCCTAAAATGGGTAAAATCATGCGCAATTAGAGTCATATTCAGTAACTCGTAAATTTTAAAATAAAGTTGGCTACTAAAATATAATGACACTTCGTATTTTTACTATCTTTCCTCTATAATTTTGACTGATTAGTTCTCGATTTGGTCAATAAGAGATTTTTAAAGAAATTTTCAAAGTTGTTGACTCAAAATCGCTTAATCAACCGTCAAAATTTAGCTCTTTTTCACGAGCTAAAAAAGCGAATTGGTACATGGCTTTCAACACCAAAGTTTGTTTAGTCTGAAAGAGCATTCTTTTTTCTTCAAATTGGCGAAATAAAATTTTTGGGTTAATGATATCACGAGCGCTGACAAAGCCAAGCAAATGTAAATATTACACTAAAAACGGGCGAAGAAACGTGACCTCTAACCGAAGCACAACCAAACGCGAATTACGGTAGGCGTCAATTTTTAATCCAACGATACCCACCTGAGACTGTGTTAGTTTACGAGCCCATAGAACTTCTCAGACCATTCCTCGGAAAGACCTCCAGAAGGAAATGAATGAAGAATTTGAACTTATAAATGTAACAATTTCACTTGCCGCCACGGCAATGAACGAAAACAAGTGTCGAACTGCCACAGGCAAACCAGCTTTCAGTGGAGTTATGCAAAGCATGTCACGTCACGTAATTCTGCCCCGCGCATTTGGGAAGGAGGGAAGAAATTCTTCCACGCTGTGCCCTAAAAAATTTATGAAATAAAACTAGCTTTGGACTGTTTCATTTTTGCCCTCGCTTGAGGGCAAAGGTGCCTCTTCCGCCGATATAATCTTGGACTTGATGAGCATTCCCACAAACGAAAAGTGGGAATCTTTTTTTCATCTTTGACCTCAACAATGTTAGCCTCAATTTTCTCATTTGACCTTCGCTTTATTTGCAGACTGGTATAAATGGGAAAATATGACTCCCCTGAAAATGCCATCAAGGAGGCTAAATGTTTGGTTGCCTCTTAGGCCAAATTCACTCCATGGATCCGGATTTCTTGTCAGTGGAACTTGTGCAAGGCACAAATGTAATAACTGGACCCAAGTGTAATAAAGGTTTCATCTGTCACGACTGAGATAATATGAGACATGTCCACAACAGCCTAAACATGGTTATCTTAACTTAAAAAGCTGACATCACGGTTCATGTGACCAAACACAACTAGAAAAAAAAGGAACGAGAAAAAATACCATAGAATCTAGCAATGGCTCTCAGTTGGCTCTTCTTGTCATTTTCATTCACTATTTCACTCACGGCTGAATTTTATTGATAGGATTTTATGACTGTCAGTACTTTGCAAAAATAAGTTCCCGCAAATAAAAATTACCGCACAAATTTTTCCCGCAAAAACTTACTCCAGAGGAAATACTGTATGCTCTAACTTACATTCACTACACAAGAGTACAGTACCAAGAAATCGTGTCTGTTCAATCACAACTGGTCTCTTTTTTTCAGAAAAATACTGACGCACACTTGGTATTGTTTGAAAATATGTATTTCTATTGTACGTACTCAATAAAAAAGACAATATTATCAATGCTGGGTACTGGGTGCTTTCTGAAATCGCAAAAATTGATCCCCAGCAAGAAAAACCAGTCTGTCCTAATCGCAAAAATTAGTTCCCACAAAACACAAAAAACCGCCAAGCCGCAAAAATAAACTACAGCAAAAATTTCGTTCCACACGGTATCCGTTGGAAAAATGATCGGTCGTTTGATCAACCAGGGCCAGCAGGTCGTTATTTTTGGTTCCTTACTTGCGTCAGTTCAGGTTTATTAGACTACCTTTGTAATCAGCGATTATGTTTACAATTACGTACTTTAGTTTTAAATTCAATTTTGGTAACGACCCCACAGTATCAGCCCCCGACAAAGGTTTGTGTTCCAAACCGACTAATATCGGAAAAATGATATC